CCTTGCCAGGGACCTCGCCCACACTGCGTTGGACGGGGAAGGTTGGCGATGCGTCGGTGTTTCGGGTCTGGGGTTCTCGTGCCTTTGTCCGCGATACCTCCGCGGACAAGCTCTCCGCCCGCGCCGTTCCCTGTGTCTTCCTTGGTTTTCCCCCTGACGCGCCTGGCTGGCAGTTTTACCACCCCACCTCGCGCCGAGTTCTGTCCTCTCAGGACGTCACGTTTGACGAGTCGGTTCCCTTTTACCGTCTCTTCCCCTACTGCACTGCCCCCCCCCTCCCCCGCCGCTCTTCCTTGCTCTAGGTCCCCCTCCGGTAGACCCCCTCCCCCCTCAGTGTCCTGCTCCGTCAGGTGTGTCTCAGGTAGACCCACTCCCCTTGGTTGAGCTTGATGAGGTCACTGGTGACTCTGGTGCTGCTGGGGGTGCTGAGCCTGGGGGTGCTGAGCCTGAGCGTGTGGATCCTGGGGGTGCTGAGCCTGGGGGTGCTGAGCCTGAGCGGGTGGAGCCAGGGGGTGCTGAGCCTGAGCGTGTGGAGCCTGGGGGTGCTGAGCCTGGGGGTGCTGAGCCTGAGCAGGTGGAGCCTGGGGGTGCTGAGCCTGAGCGTGTGGAGCCTGGGGGTGCGGAGCCTGCGGGTGCGGAGCCTGAGGGTGTTGAGCCTGCGGGTGAGGAGTCTGGAGTTGCTGAGACTGGGGGTGCTGGAGGTACTACTAGTTCTGGAGGTGCTCGTACTGGAGGTACTGGAGCTGCCAGGGCTGGTGGTCCTGTTAGTACTGGTGGAGCTGGCGCTGGGGGTTCTGGAGGCACTCTCTCGCCGCAGCAGCTACGTGAGTGGTACACTCAGCACTGCCGCCTTCGGAGTGGCGCTGCTGGGGCTGGAGGCGCTGCGGCTGGAGGCGCGGGAGCTGGAGGTACTGGAGCGACCGGAGCTGGTGGTGCTGCGGACTCTGGAGCTGGAGGCCCTGGAGCTGGAGGTGCTGGAGCTGGAGCTTCTGGAGTTGCTGGAGACCCTGGCGCTACTGGTACTCGTACTGGAGGTACAGGTGCTGGCGGAGCTGGTACTGGTGGTGCTGCACAGCCGCGTCTGTTCTTCGCTCCACCGTCACCGTCGTCTCTGCCGCCGCCTGGCTCGGTGCTTCGCCAGGTTCTTAGTCTCTCGTCTTCTACTGGTCTTCCGTTACAGTCAGGCTCCCCACTGCCTGCTCCCTCTCCTTACACTGAGCAGACGGGAGGTCTTACTGAGCGTCGTGAGCATGCGTCTCGTCCTGCCTCGCCTGTCCGCGCTGGTCGCAATGGTCGCCGTGTCCCTCGTGAGCGTCCTCCTCCTATCCCCGGCACGCACACTATGGCACTTCGTCCTTCCTCTGTTCCACACGTGTTCCCCTGCCGTCTCCTCCTGTGTCCTCTCTTCCGCACGTTCCGGACCCTGAGTCTGACCTAGTTCGTGCTACCAGTCCTACTGTTACGCATCTCTTAGCCACTGTTGTCACTGACCCTTCGTTTGAGTCTGCTGTTGCGTCTGCCTTGGTCGCTGAGCTTGTTGACTTTTCTGCTGCTTCTCGTCTCGACTACGCCGCTAGTCTTGTTGCTGAGTCTGAGTCTGTCTGTCCTCCGTCCGTCGGGAGTGAGTGTGCTCTTGGCACGGACGTCCTTGAGGACAGGCAGGAGGACTTTGAGTGTCTTGCCACCGCTGCACCTCATCTCGTGGCCATGCTACTTGCCCCTGAGGGAGAACCGGATGCACCAGACATCCCGACCCCGCGCTCTTACGCAGAGGCGATCGCGGGTGAGTACTCTTCTCAGTGGCAGACAGCCATGGACGCACAGATGGCATCCTGGAAGTCCACAGGCACCTACGTCGACGCAGTTCCCCCTCTTGGGGCAAACGTAGTCGATGGCATGTGGATTTTCAGGGTGAAGCGGCCGCCGGGTTCTCCGCCTGTCTTCAAGGCTCGTTACGTTGCACGAGGCTTCAGTCAGCGACAGGGAGTTGACTTCTTCCAGACCTTCTCCCCTACCCCGAAGATGACCACTCTTCGGGTGTTGCTGCACGTTGCCGCTCAGCGTGACTACGAGCTTCACTCTCTTGACTTCAGCACAGCTTTCCTACAGGGCAGCCTGCACGAGGAGATCTGGCTGCGCCGTCCACCTGGCTTCACTGGGTCGTTTCCTGCAGGTACCCAGTGGAGCCTCCGACGGTCAGTCTACGGTCTCCGCCAGGCGCCTCGTGAGTGGCACGACACACTGAGGACGACACTTGCGGCAATTGGGTTTGCTCCTTCGACTGCAGACCCGTCGCTGTTTCTGCGCACCGACACTTCGCTGCCGCCGTTCTACATCCTCGTGTACGTCGACGACTTGGTTTTTGCCACTGCTGACACTGAGGCACTCGCCCTTGTGAAGTCGGAGCTGCAGAAGAGACACACGTGCACAGACCTGGGTGAGCTGCGCAGCTATCTTGGCTTGCAGATCACCCGGGACAGAGCACAGCGCACCATTACCTTGACTCAGTCACACATGGTGCAGCAGGTCCTTCAGCGCTTCCGCTTCACTTGGTCCTCGCCATAGTCTACTCCTCTGGCTACCGGTCACTCGCACTCAGCTCCACCTTCGGACGAGTCCGTAGAGCCGAGTGGCCCGTACCCAGAGCTAGTGGGCTGCCTCATGTACCTGATGACCTGCACTCGTCCTGACCTTGCATACCCTCTCGGCCTTCTGGCACGCTACGTGGCTCCTAGTAGGCACCGAAAGGTGCACTGTGATGCTGCAAAGAGGGTACTGCGTTACTTGTGCAGTACATCGGGCATGGGGCTGGTGCTTGGAGGGCGGGGTCCAGTTGTCCTCACTGGACACTCAGACGCTTCGTGGGTTGACGACCTTGCTACGCAGCGGTCGTCTCAGGGTTACACCTTCAGCCTTGGCTCCGGCTCTGTTTCTTGGCGGTCTACACGCTCGTCTTCTGTTCTCAGCTCTAGTTGTGAGGCTGAGATCTACGCGACAGCCATGGCTGCACAGGAGTTACGCTGGCTCACCTACCTGCTGACCGACTTGGGAGAGCGGCCTCGTTCTCCTCCAGTTGTGTACGTAGACAACAAGGCTGCCATTGCCTTGTGTCAGGAGCACAGACTGGAGCATAGAACGAAGCACATCGCTCTGCGTTACTTCCTTGCTCGAGAGTTGCAGCAGCGTGGTTAGCTTCATCTTGCTTACGTGGCCACTCGGGCCAACACTGCTGATATATTCACCAAGGCACTTCAGCCTTGTGATCATCAGCGCTTCTGTACTGTTTTAGGCCTTGTGCCTACTTTGCCTCACTTGCTCACTTCGTGACTTTGCTTGTACTGTGATATATATACTTATACTTGCCTGCTTACACTTGCTAGGTTGTGATCACTGTACTGCTTGTTTCCATTTATATAACTCTGCATGTGAACTGGCCTTGTGGCCATTTGCTTGTGCTCAGAGTGTGTGGTGACTTCGTGATCCACCCTGAGCTTGCTTTGCTTTGTTCTTCTCTTGACTGGTCTTATGACCATTGTTTGCTTTGGCTATCCCCCACTTCGCCTATGGGGGTGTGTCAAACATATATCTGTATTAAGTTGTCTAGGCTATACAGGGGCTAGCCTTAGGGGGTATAGCTTTCACCTCGACACTCTGTTTGTACCCCATCCTAGACCTAATCAACACACTTCTCCTAAACTCTCTCAACAGGGGGTACCGACGTTCCTTTACTCATGGCCAGGATGGAGAGAGTCCGCAGCGTGTCTTCTCTCCTCATCAGGACGAAGAGAGCTCGCTTGAAGGGCAACTGCATGCCTTCTCTCCTCAGCAGGACGAAGAGAGCTCGCCGGAAAGAGATCAGCTTCCGCTTTCTCACCAGCAAGACGAAGACACTTCAAAAGAAGCAGCACTAAGCTCGCTGGCAGCTGCACGAAACTCGCTGCAGGAACAGCTACAGCTCCTCTCTCCTCAGCAGGACGAAGACTCTTCGCTGGTAGGGGCGCTAAGCTCGCTGGAAGCAGAACTAAGCTCGCTGGCAGAAGCAGGACGTTCGCTGCAGGCGCAGCTCCAGCTCCTCTCTCCTCAGCAAAACGAAGAGAGCTCGTTGGAAACAAATCAGCCTCCGCTTTCTCACCAGCAGGACGAAGTCACTTCGATGGTAGCGGCACTAAGCTCGCTGGAAGCAGAAGTAAGTTCGCTGCAGGAACAGCTACAGCTCCTCTCTCAGCAGGACGACGAAAACTTGCTGGAAAGGGAACAGCAGGATGAAGAACGCTTGCTGCTTGTGACTGTTCAAATACGTGTGGTGTGCTCCATAGAGATAGAGTTTTCAGATTCTTAGGATCTAGGCGTTTACGTACCTTGCGTTTGGTTTCAACATGAGAAACGTGGCAGTCAGTGCTGTTCTCTGATGCAGAATCTGGCATGAATCGGTGGAGATTTACCAGGTAGCACGGATGTTTTGTGTGTGTGTGTGTGTTTTTTTTCCCCAATGCATGTTTAAAGACCAGGTAATGGCCCATGATATGCCCAGGATATTATGCTTTTGGCTCTTCGAAGGTGGGGAAAGTTGGCTTGAGCATGGGTTCGAAATGGAATCGGAGAAGCAATAAGGTGGGAATTATTGGAAAGAAAGGTGAAGGGGATGAAGGGGATGAAGGGGAGGAAGGAGGAGGCGGGAGAGAGGGGAAGAGGGGGGGGAGAGGATTTGATGGACATGCAGGCAGTGGGAGGCCCCACGCCCCTGGGACTGGACTGGAGCTTGTGTCTACCGGAAGCAATCTGATGATTTTGTAGCAAGGTTACTCCCGTTTGTCATGCATGATGATGACACGACACACTAGCTGATTTGTGCACGTTCAAACGCATGCTCATTGTTAATATAGGTTGAAAGCGTGATCATTATATGATGATTGCTACGCTGGCAGAGTATTTATTACTGTATTGACAAACCATCGAGATAATGGAAGCTATCCAGACCCTCGAAGAAGCACCCCTTCCATTCATCGCAGGGAGCAGAAGCGGGGGCGGTCGCAGAAGAGGTGGCCGAACTTCTTCAGGGCGAAAAGCACCGAGCCAGCGACCACAGCTGAGGTGGCTGCGATGACTGGCGATAGCGGGGAGGAGGAGGAGGCTGCAGGAGAGGGAAGGGGAGGGAAGGAGATGGGGGATTGGGGGGCAGGAAGGAGAGGGAGGGGTTTGTTTGAAGGGATTGGGAGAAGGGCGAAGAGCACCGAGCCGGCGACCACAGCTGAGGTGGCTGCGACGACTGGCGAGAGAGGGGAGGAGGAGGAGGAGGCTGCAGGAGAGGGACGGGGAGGGGGAAAAGGGGGATGGAGGGCTGGGAGGGGGGGGGGGGAGGGGACGGCAATTAAGCCAGCGACCACAACTGAGGTGGCTGCGACGACTGGCATAGACAGGAGGAGGAGGAGGATGCGAAGGAGTGAGGGGAAGGGAGGCAGGGGGGATGGGGGAAGAATGGGGGTTGGGAGTGGGATGACAATTGAAACAACGACCACAGCTGAGGTGGCTGCAACAACTGATAGTTAGGGGGGGTGGGAGAGGATGAGGGTGCGACAGAGGAAAAGGGAGAGTGATGTGCGGGCATAAGGGAAGAGAGGGATTGTGTTTTTCGGGTGCTTCGAGGGTTTGGAGGGGGAGTAAGATCACAAGAGAGCCAGAAACCACAGCATCTTCTATGATTGGGCTAGGCTTGGTGGAAACAGTTATTGGAAACCTACGGATATTAGAAAGCCAACACTTACTCATGAAACACCAGGAATCACCAGCACGAGTGATATGTAACAGGGTAACTCACATGGGATGACATTTCGCAGGAAGAGGTAAGTGGAGGCCACGAGCACCACGAGAGCAACCCTCAGGTTCTGCACCGAGGTGGAAACAGGGAGAGTCGAGGGGAAAGGCGCATGGAAGGGTTGCATGGAAGGGTGAGCAGGTGAGCTGGCGAGCAGCAGGTGAGATGGAGGAAACCAACAGCACTAGAGCCACAGCCGGGTTTGGAACGATAAATGATGGTGCTACACGTGGCTGCTGGGCAGGCAACGAGGCTAGCAGCCACTTGTGCTAAGAGGCTTGCAGGCTAGCACAGATGACTGCATTATGGGTGGGCCGATGGGAGTGGGTGCTACAGGCGACTGGCAAAGTGATGGGCGATGGAGAAAAGCTATAATGATGATGATAACCAGTCTAGCGGCTTGTGAAAGCTCTCATTAACCGCCCACCGCAGCACGGAGGTCAGCAGGGTACTGCGATGAATTCTTAGTCTTTCTAAGAATTCAACCATCCATTTTTAGTCTTTCTAAGAATTCTTGAAAACACCTGAGATGAAGGCGTGGTCACGTACAGTTTATCTCTCGATGCCAGTGCGTGTGAATGGAGATGGACCCTCAGTGAGCACCTTCAGTGGTTGTAACCGGTTTAGTGGTTTAAGGTAAGATTCAGAATATACCGGGTATGTCCACGTACAGTGTATCTCTTAATCCCCGTGCGTGTGAATGGAGACGGAGCGCCCTGCTTGACTGTGTAGTTGCCCATAACCAGATCCAAGCCGTCCTGTGAGTTGTGGGGGGATTGCAATGAGGATAACAGGAGACTTGCAGTGAATGGGGATGAATGGTGTTTCCTGCTTGCTTGACTGTGTAGTTGCCCATAACCAGATCCAGCCCATCCTGTGGGTAATGATTGCAATGAAGGGTACATGGACGGATGGCATGAGCCTTGAAAGGAATGGGAGATGGAGCGCGCTGCTTGCTTGACTGTGTGGTTGCCCATGACCAAATCGAGCCCGTAATGTATATAGTGGGATCACAATGAATGGAGAGGGCTTTGAGATGAATGGGGATGGATGGAGCGCCCTGCTTGACTGTAAGTTACCCATGAGAGCCCTGCTTTACTGTAAGTTACCCATGAGCGCCCTGCTTTACTGTAAGTTACCCATGAGCGCCCTGCTTTACTGTAAGTTACCCATGAGCGCCCTGCTTGACCAGAGCCGAATCCAGCCACCAGCAGCACCCCTCCTTTGCATCACCCTTGCTAGTTTCAGCCACACTCACCTGCCTCACGCCATCAGCATAGTTGTTGGAGAAGTAGCGCATCACAGCGCTGACTCCATCCCACGCTGTGTTACAGCCAGCCACCTGTATGATGCATCTATCACGCATGAATCGCCCTCACCTGTCGCACGCCATCGGTGCAGTTGTTGGAGAAGTAGCGCATCACAGCGCTGACTCCATCCCACGTTGTGTTACAGCCAGCCACCTGTATGATGCATCTATCACGCATGAATCGCCCTCACCTGTCGCACGCCATCGGTGCAGTTGTTGGAGAAGTAGCGCATCACAGCGCTGACTCCATCCCACGCTGTGTTACAGCCAGCCACCTGTATGATGCATCTATCACGCATGAATCGCCCTCACCTGTCGCACGCCATCGGTGCAGTTGTTGGAGAAGTAGCGCATCACAGCGCTGACTCCATCCCACGCTGTGTTACAGCCAGCCACCTGTATGATGCATCTATCACGCATGAATCGCCCTCACCTGTCGCACGCCATCGGTGCAGTTGTTGGAGAAGTAGCGCATCACAGCGCTGACTCCATCCCACGCTGTGTTACAGCCAGCCACCTGTATGATGCATCTATCACGCATGAATCGCCCTCACCTGTCGCACGCCATCGGTGCAGTTGTTGGAGAAGTAGCGCATCACAGCGCTGACTCCATCCCACGCTGTGTTACAGCCAGCCACCTGTATGATGCATCTATCACGCATGAATCGCCCTCACCTGTCGCACGCCATCGGTGCAGTTGTTGGAGAAGTAGCGCATCACAGCGCTGACTCCATCCCACGCTGTGTTACAGCCAGCCACCTGTATGATGCATCTATCACGCATGAATCGCCCTCACCTGTCGCACGCCATCGGTGCAGTTGTTGGAGAAGTAGCGCATCACAGCGCTGACTCCATCCCACGCTGTGTTACAGCCAGCCACCTGTATGATGCATCTATCACGCATGAATCGCCCTCACCTGTCGCACGCCATCGGTGCAGTTGTTGGAGAAGTAGCGCATCACAGCGCTGACTCCATCCCACGCTGTGTTACAGCCAGCCACCTGTATGATGCATCTATCACGCATGAATCGCCCTCACCTGTCGCACGCCATCGGTGCAGTTGTTGGAGAAGTAGCGCATCACAGCGCTGACTCCATCCCACGCTGTGTTACAGCCAGCCACCTGTATGATGCATCTATCACGCATGAATCGCCCTCACCTGTCGCACGCCATCGGTGCAGTTGTTGGAGAAGTAGCGCATCACAGCGCTGACTCCATCCCACGCTGTGTTACAGCCAGCCACCTGTATGATGCATCTATCACGCATGAATCGCCCTCACCTGTCGCACGCCATCGGTGCAGTTGTTGGAGAAGTAGCGCATCACAGCGCTGACTCCATCCCACGCTGTGTTACAGCCAGCCACCTGTATGATGCATCTATCACGCATGAATCGCCCTCACCTGTCGCACGCCATCGGTGCAGTTGTTGGAGAAGTAGCGCATCACAGCGCTGACTCCATCCCACGCTGTGTTACAGCCAGCCACCTGTATGATGCATCTATCACGCATGAATCGCCCTCACCTGTCGCACGCCATCGGTGCAGTTGTTGGAGAAGTAGCGCATCACAGCGCTGACTCCATCCCACGCTGTGTTACAGCCAGCCACCTGTATGATGCATCTATCACGCATGAATCGCCCTCACCTGTCGCACGCCATCGGTGCAGTTGTTGGAGAAGTAGCGCATCACAGCGCTGACTCCATCCCACGCTGTGTTACAGCCAGCCACCTGTATGATGCATCTATCACGCATGAATCGCCCTCACCTGTCGCACGCCATCGGTGCAGTTGTTGGAGAAGTAGCGCATCACAGCGCTGACTCCATCCCACGCTGTGTTACAGCCAGCCACCTGTATGATGCATCTATCACGCATGAATCGCCCTCACCTGTCGCACGCCATCGGTGCAGTTGTTGGAGAAGTAGCGCATCACAGCGCTGACTCCATCCCACGCTGTGTTACAGCCAGCCACCTGTATGATGCATCTATCACGCATGAATCGCCCTCACCTGTCGCACGCCATCGGTGCAGTTGTTGGAGAAGTAGCGCATCACAGCGCTGACTCCATCCCACGCTGTGTTACAGCCAGCCACCTGTATGATGCATCTATCACGCATGAATCGCCCTCACCTGTCGCACGCCATCGGTGCAGTTGTTGGAGAAGTAGCGCATCACAGCGCTGACTCCATCCCACGCTGTGTTACAGCCAGCCACCTGTATGATGCATCTATCACGCATGAATCGCCCTCACCTGTCGCACGCCATCGGTGCAGTTGTTGGAGAAGTAGCGCATCACAGCGCTGACTCCATCCCACGCTGTGTTACAGCCAGCCACCTGTATGATGCATCTATCACGCATGAATCGCCCTCACCTGTCGCACGCCATCGGTGCAGTTGTTGGAGAAGTAGCGCATCACAGCGCTGACTCCATCCCACGCTGTGTTACAGCCAGCCACCTGTATGATGCATCTATCACGCATGAATCGCCCTCACCTGTCGCACGCCATCGGTGCAGTTGTTGAAGAAGTATCGCATCACAGCGCTCACCCCATCCCGAAGGAAACCTTCCGGGCTGCGCTTGCAACACCATCCACACACTACCTGCAGTGTTCTACCACAGTCTACCTTCTCACCTGTCTCACGCCATCGGTATAGTTGTTGAAAAAGTATCGCATCACAGCACTGACACCATCCTGGATTTCAACCCCCCATTAGAATCACCCCTTACTCGTTTGAGTCGCCCTCACTCACCTGTCGCACGCCATCGGTATAGTTGTTGAAGAAGTATCGCATCACAGCGCTCACCCCATCCTGAAGGAATCCCTCCGGGCTGCGCTTGCCGTACCTGTGGTGTGGGGCACAGGGGGTATGTGACAGTAATGGGGGCAGAGTGGCCTGTTTATAGTAAAGAGTGCGAGGCAAGGTAGACCTTTGTCTCACTGAGTGTGAGTGCAAGGTAAAGAGTGTGCATATGAGGCACGGAATGCGCGTGCGTGTCAGGCACAGAGTGTGAGTGCGAGGCACTGTGCCTGGACCGCAGAAGATGGAATGACAGTATACTTCTGCACGCAATCTTTTCAGGCGTGTCTTTTGAGGTGTGTCCTTTGAGGCGCGTAAATAAAGGTAGCACGTACCGCACATAGTCTCCCTTGAGTGCTGGTGTGCCCGTGTACTGCGTGCTGATGTCATCGCCATGATCCGCCCACACTGGAAGGAAGCATCTCAGAGGGGTTTATGGCGAGAGAGAGAGTTAGGGTTTGGTATGGTGTGCTGTAATCTACATAGTCTCCCTTGAGTGCTGGTGTGCCCGTGTACTGTGTGCTGATGTCATCGCCATGATCCGCCCACACTGACAGGACATACATTGGGAGAGGGGGAAAGGAGCAAGCAAGAGACCTTGTGCACATGATCTGGTCCGGTGTGTTGTAAGGCACAGGTAAAGTCTCCCTTGAGAGCTCTGGCGTGCACATGTGTGCTGCATGCTCATGTCATCATCACCATGGTCTGCCCACATGAGGGTGGACAAGCACGCATGGAATGGACCGAGGCGACTCTTGGCATGCACCTCTGGCGTGCCCACATGAGGGCACCGGCACCTCTGGCGTGCACGTGCATGTGCGCTGCATGCTCATGTCATCACCACCATGTCCCCCCACAGGAGGGTGGACATACATGGAACGGACCGGGGCAAGGGGAAGAGAGAGAGGCGTTAGCGGGGCCAGAGAGGCATTAGTGGGGGCAGAAAGTGAGGTGGTGCCGTTGGGAAGGTACAGCAGAGGTCTGCTTTGAGTGCTGGTGTGTCCATCTCCTTACTGCCTTTTTTTTTTTCCAGACCAGACTCTCCCTTTTCCCTAACTCATTTTTTTCCCCACACCGTTTCATCCATCCCCTCACTGATCTTGTACTTGGCGTCAAAGTCGCTGTGCTCTGCCACCCTCTCGTCCTTCCCCACCTCTTTGACACAGCTTACAGCACAAAGCATGTCCTTTCTCCATAACCCTCCAATCTCTCCCCCCACACTCCCATCCCCCTCCACTCACTGATCTTATACTTGGCGTCAAAGTCGCTGTGCTCTGAGACTCTCTCATCCTTCCCCAGCAGGCCCATCTGCCTCAGCTCGTCCTCCAACACATGCCGGGCAAACCAGCTCTGAAAAAAGGGGTTAAGGGTTGGGGGGATGGCGGGGAGTGAAAGATAGTACTGAATCAATCAGAAGCCACAGCAGCCCCATGTGCCTCAGCTCGTCCTCCAGCACGTGCCGCGCGAACCAGCTCTGAGAAGGAGAAATCAGAGGAGGGCCAAGTGGGGAAGGGAGGGCGAAGTGGGGAAGGGAGGGCGAAGTGGGGAAGGGAGGGCCAAGTGGGGAAGGGAGGGCCAAGTGGGGAAGGGAGGGCCAAGTGGGGAAGGGAGGGCCAAGTGGGGAAGGGAGGGCCAAGTGGGGAAGGGAGAGCCAAGTGGATGGGAGGTGAAGGAGGGTCTATTCAGTCCCATCCCTGCAGCCCCATTCGCCTCAGCTCGTCCTCCAGCACGTGCCGCACGAACCAGCTGCAAAAGAAAGGGGAAGGGGACGGGGAGCGGGACGGGGAGGGGGGTTGGGAGGGGATTACTGGGTCACCCTGCAGTCTCATGTGCCTCAGCTCGTCCTCCTGCACGTGTCGCACGAACCAGCTGCGAAAGAAAGGGGAAGGGGACGGGGAGCGGGACGGGGAGGGGGGTTGGGAGGGGATTACTGGGTCACCGTGTAGCCCCATGTGCCTCAGCTCGTCCCCCTGCACGTGCCGCACGAACCAGCTCTGAGGGAGAAGAAGGAAGGGGAAAGCAGGCGATTCGGGGAGAAGAGAGAAAGTGGGTGTGGGGGGGGGGGGGGGTTCATGCAGCCCCTGCAGCCCCATTCACCTCAGCTCGTCCTCCAGCACGTGCCGCACGAACCAGCTGTGAGGGAGAGAGACGTGGGGTGGTTGGGGGAGAGAGACGTGGGGTGGTTGGATGACTAGTATTCTGGCGGTGAGTAACTAGAAAGGCTTTACCTTGAAATGTGGGCGGGTGATGAACCAGAGAGGTCAAATCAAAGCGCATAGATAATCACCAGTGATCTGCTTGCCACCTGAGAGCCCACCTGCGCGCCACCTGAGAGCCCACCTGGTCGGCACCTGAGAGCCCACCTGAGTAGTGCAATCAGGAAGTTGAAGTGCGCGCTGTGCCGTGCTGCTGCAACCTGACGAATCACCTGAGAGGCACCTGAGGACCCACCTGAGTGACATTGGTGCGGTCAAGGCAGTCAACGCAGTTGGTGTGCACTGTGCCGTGCTGCCGCCACCTGACGAATCACCTGAGGCACCTGAGAGCCCACCTGAGTGACAATGGTGCGGTCAAGGCAGTCAACACAGTTGGTGCGCACTGTGTCGTGCTGCTGATCACCTGAGAGGCACCTGAGGACCCACCTGAGTGACATTGGTGCGGTCAAGGCAGTCAACGCAGTTGGTGTGCACTGTGTCGTGCTGCCGCCACCTGACGAATCACCTGAGGCACCTGCGAGCCCACCTGAGTGACATTGGTGCGGTCAAGGCAGTCAACGCAGTTGGTGCGCACTGTGCCGTGCTGCTGATCACCTGAGAGGCACCTGAGGACCCACCTGAGTGACATTGGTGCGGTCAAGGCAGTCAACACAGTTGGTGCGCACTGTGCCTTGCTGCTGCTTCTGCACCGACCCATCCTTGCCTTGCAGGAAGAATCTGGGGGCAGAGAAAAAGATGAGATTCAAATTTCAAGGTGCCCCACAAAGGAAGTTAGTGCGCTCTAAGCCCTGCTGTGCCGTGCTGCTGCATCTGCACCGACCCGTCCTTGCCTTGCAGGAAGAATCTGGTTTGGGAACAAAAAAGGGCGGCGAAAGCGACGAGATTCGTGATTTCAAGAGTGTAACAAGGTGTGTGCTGTGCCTTGCTGTGACGTGCTGCTGCTTCTGCACCGACCCGTCCTTGCCTTGCAGGAAGAACCTGGTGGGGGGACAAGACAACGTGTGGAAGGCGGGATGGGAAGGAGGGAATGGCAAAGAGTTGAGAAAAGTTAAGAACTTGACTTCCCGCGAGAGCGCTGAATTGATCAGCACGTGATGGCAGCAGAGGGAAGTGACGTGGGGCGATACAACAACAGAGAGCAGAGCTCATTCCGGATCCAGCTGAATGAAATGACTGACTGGCACGTGATCATGCGATGGTGGCAGAGCAGAGGCAGAAAGAAGTGGGCAGCAGGGTGTGCTGAAGCAACTCACCCCTGTGCCTCCATCCATGCCCTTGCCGATCTGGTCGGCCGGCTGAGAATCCTTCATCCCTTTGAGAATTCGCATTCGCACGTGATCATTCTCAAAAGCGTAGTGGCCTGAAGCAACTCACCCCTGGGTCTCCATGTCTTTGCCGATCTGGTCGTCCAGCACCGAGAGCTGGTGGTACTTGGTGGCCCCTTAGCTCTGTGTCTACATGTCCTTGCTCATCTGGCCGTCCAAGCATTATCGCTCCTGACCGCCTGAAGCAACTCACCCCTGGGTCTCCATGTCCTTGCCAATCTGATCGTCCAGCACAGAGAGCTGGTGGTACTTGGTGGCGCCGCACTCGTGGTGAAAGTCAAAGGGCACGTAGCTGGTGTGAGAGGGAGGGAGAGAGGAGAGGAAAAGGGGGCGGGAAGAGGTGATTTTGTGTGCATGGCAAGCTGTTGGTGGTGGTACTAGCTGGCACCACACTCGTGGTGGTACTAGCTGACACCACACTCGTGGTGGTACTAGCTGGCACCACACTCGTGGTGGTACTAGCTGGCACCACACTCGTGGTGGTACTAGCTGGCACCACACTCGTGGTGGTACTAGCTGGCACCACACTCGTGGTGGTACTAGCTGGCACCACACTCGTGGTGGTACTAGCTGGCACCACACTCGTGGTGGTACTAGCTGGCACCACACTCGTGGTGGTACTAGCTGGCACCACACTCGTGGTGGAAGTCAAACGGAACATAGCTGGTGTGAGAGGGAGGGGGGCGGGCGGGAGGGGAGTTCCCAGAAGAGCAACAGGCAAAAAAAGAGGGATGGAAAAAGGTGGTGTTTGGTCCGGCGCAAGCTGCTGCTGGTGGTGATACTTGGTGACCCTGCACTCGTGGTGGAAGTCATATGGCACGTAGCTGGTGAGAGAGGGAGGCACGGGGGATGAAGTGGGGGGGAAAGGGGAGAGGTGGTGCTATGTGAATGGGAAGCCGCTGGTGGTGATACTTGGTGACCCTGCACTCGTGGTGGAAGTCAAATGGCACGTAGCTGAGGCGAGGGAGGGAGAGGGGGGAGGAGCGGGAGAGAGTAATGAGTGTCGTGCTGAGAACATAACACTGCTGGCGGAGAGCTGCTGGTGTAGCCGCACTGCTGGAGGGGTCAAATGCCAGCCACATAGATGATGGTTTTGCAGCCCCAGCGTTAACCAAGTGTTTTGAGACGTCTCAAAACACTTCTTTCATCACGTGCTGGAGGGGTCAAATGCCAGCCACACAGATGACGGGTTTTGCAGCCCCAGCATAAAACGAGGACTTTATGCGCTCGGTTTATGCATGCCGCTGAACACTGGGTGCATGCATGCATACATGCCCATGACACTCAGAAAATGCACATGGTACATGCATGCATGGGCCATACCGCATGTCCGAGCCCTTGATCGCGTTCGTGGCACCAGCATATGCTGCTGAACGGTAGGTGTATGCATGCATGCCACATACACTCAGAGTATTCACATGTGTACATGCACGGGTGGGTCGTACTGTACTGCATGTCAGAGTACTTAATGGCGTTCACAGCTTCAGCATATGCTGCTGCTGCACACAGGATTATGTCATACATGCAATGCAATCATGCCGCAAACACAGGGCACACTCAGGTCAGAGAACATGGACATGATCGAGGCCTTACCGCATATGCGGATGGTAAGGACTTACATGGACATGATCGGCCTTACCACAGGTCAGAGTTCACAGCTCCAGCATATGCTACACACTAGGCGTATCCATGCATGCCAATCGCACTTAAATGGATAAGCGATACATCAATGGGTCGTTCGTACCGCAAGTCAGAGTCCTTGATGGCGTTCACAGCTCCGGCATATGCTGAACCGATGCGGTTCTCCCCACCATCCTGTATGCATGGCATCCATGCAATGCCATGCCATGCCATGACATGCCACACCATGGCATGACATGACATATCAATGCAAGCCACGAATATAGGGTTATATTCGTCCATACTGGTAAGTTTGGGATGAGAAACAGCCAAGGACGAGCGGGAATGAGAAACAGCCAAGGACGAGTGGGGGAATGAATGAGAAACAGCCAAGGACGAGTGGGGGAATGAGAAACAGCCAAGGACGAGCGGGAATCAGAAACAGCCAAGGACGAGCGGGGGAGTGAATGAGAAACAGCCAAGGACGAGCGGGGGAATGAGAAACAGCCAAGAACAAGCGGGGGTATGAGAAACAGCCAAGGGCGAGCGGGGGAAACAGGGCAAGATCCACCCCCCCCCCCCCCCCCCCCCCCCCCCCCCTCCCTCCCATCTCTCACCCTCTCCCCCCCCCCAAAAAAAAAAAAAAAAAAAAAAAAAAAAAAAAAAAAAACCACCTGCCTCCTCGCCAGGTCCGGCCGAGACTCCACTGTGCCTGCCGAACCGCAACCAGGTCCGGCAAGACTTCCACCGGCTCTGCCGGACCTCCATCAGGTCCGGCCAGACCTCCACCGGGTCTGCCGCGCCTCCACCAGGTCCGGCCGGACCTCCGTCGGGCCTGCCGTACTTCCACCAGGTACGGTCAGACCTCCGTCGGGTCTGCCGAACCTCCACCAGGTCCGACCGGACCTCTGTCGGGTCTGCCGAACCTCCACCATGTCCTGTCAGACCTCCGTCGGGTCTGCCGAACCTCCACCAGGTCCGGCCGGACCTCTGTCGGGTCTGCCGAGCCTCCACCAGGTCCGGTCAGACCTCCGTCGGGTCTGCCGAACCTCCACCAGGTCCGGCCGGACCTCCGTCGGGTCTGCCGAGCCTCCACCAGGTCCGGTCAGACCTCCGTCAGGTCTGCCGAACCTCCACCAGGTCCGGTCGGACCTCCGTCGGGTCTGCCGAACCTCCACCAGGTCCAGTCAGACCTCTGCCGGGTCTGCCGAACCTCCACCAGGTCCGGCCTGCCTCCATCGGGTCTGCCGAGCCTCCACCAGGTCCGATCATACCTCCGCCGGGTCTGCCGAACCTCCACCAGGTCCGGCCGGACCTCCGTCCGGTCTGCCGAACCTCCACCAGGTCCGGTCAGACCTCCCTCGGGTCTGCCGAACCTCCACCAGGTCCGGCTTGCCTCCGTCGGGTCTGCCGAGCCTCCACCAGGTCCGGCCGGACCTCCGTCGGGTCTGCCGAGCCTCCACCAGGTCCGGTCAGACCTCCGTCAGGTCTGCCGAACCTCCACCAAATCCGGTCGGACCTCCGTCGGGTATGCCGAACCTCCACCAGGTTCGGTCAGACCTCTGCCGGGTCTGCCGAACCTCCACCAGGTCCGGCCTGCCTCCGTCGGGTCTGCCGAGCCTCCACCAGGTCCGGTCATACCTCCGTCGGGTCTGCCGAACCTCCACCAGGTCCGGCCGGACCTCCGTCGGGTCTGCCGAACCTCCACCAGGTCCGGTCAGACCTCCCTCGGGTCGGCCGAACCTCCACCAGGTCCGGCCTGCCTCCGTCGTGTCTGCCGAGCCTCCACCAGGTCCGGCCAGACCTCCGTCGGTCTGCCGAACCTCCACCAGGTCCGGCCGGACCTCCGTCGGGTCTGCCGAGCCTTCACCAGGTCCGATCAGACCTCCCTCGGGTCTGCCGAACCTCCACCAGGTCCGGTCAGACCTCCGTCGGGTCTGCCAAACCTCCACCAGGTCCGGTCAGACCTCCACTGGGTCTGCCGGACCTCCACCAGTGCTGCCACATCACACGTCACACCCACCCCACATGCCACGTCACACCCACCCAACGCCACGTCACACCCGACCCCCAAGTCCCCCAAGTCCCCCAAGTCCTCCAAGTCCCCCAAGTCCCCCAAGTCCCCCCAGTCCCCCCAGTCCCCCCAGTCCCCCCAGTCCCCCCAGTCCCCCCAGTCCCAACACCGATGGTCGACGTCATTCTCCTCAGCGGAGTGGATTCAGGCCGATTTCGGCGACTCATGCGTCGGCTGGTCGTGACAGAGGCATCGCGCCGGCGTACGGCTACTTCAATTTTTTACCGGACAAGATCGCTGTGCCGAAGCCGCTTGAAGGACGCCATGACTTAATAAAATGGATTGAGTCCATCGAACCCCAGCTGGAGATCGCGGATTGAAGAAGTTCGTCGACGGAAATGCTTTGGCGCCGGACGAGGAGGATGTCAAGCTCTGGTCGGAATTTCGCGCTGCTCACCTTCTGACCTTTATGGTCATTTCGAGGTGTTGCTCACCTCTGGTGTAAGTCGCATTGAAGTCGTGCAGATTTCGAGTGGATGCTGGCTACCAAGCGTGGCAACCGAGTACTGCAATCGAGCGCGGCGAATTCTGGCCGACCTGCGGATGGCTAGCGTCGAATACCCAGTGGCGTCGTATGTCACGCATGTTATCAGTGGCCTCCCCTCGGGCTACAACCTAATGCACCGGATGCTGACGGTTCCCGGCACGCGCGAGACTCTGAACGAGGACTTGCTTTCGAGCCACATCATCCAGGACGAATTCATGCAGGAGTCTGAGCGGTCTACAGAGCTCCTTCCGCAGGCCAACTACGTCGCTCCGACGAATCAAGGATGTCAGACGGGGCAGCGTGGGAAGTCGGGCGGAGGCGGAGGCGGTGGCGGAAATCGTCGAACACGAAGTCGTCGGAGGGCGCCGACCGCGAAAAGTCTGCGAAAAGCAATGATCGCGGTTGCAGTGGTTCGCGTCGAGGAGGACGCCGCTGCTACATTTGCGGAGACCCCGACCATCTCTCGTACGACTGCCCTGACCGCGATGAGTCCGACGACGATCAGAGAGCAAGCCGCGGAAAGTCTGACAGCGACCGTCGTCATCGGGACAACCAGCCTCACAAGGAGAAGCCAGCGTCGTTGAAAACGTCGTCGAAATCAGAGGGAGATACCTCGAGCGGCAAGAAAGCCTCTTGTTCGATGGTTGGAGTGGTTGAGCCAACTAGTTCTCTGGCGCCGGAGGCTGGAGAAGACTTCCAAGCGGTCGCAGCAGCTGTGCAGGCGAATCTGACCGTGGTTCTCCTCAACAGTGGCTCCTCCCATCATCTGATGGGAACGCGAGAGGCCTTCGTCGACATGAAGCCTGGATACGAAAGTCGTCACGTGTGCGGATTCAACGGAGCGCTTCAGAATGTCGAAGGTCGTGGCACAGTTGCTCTGAAAGGGGAGACCGGTAAGCCGATTCTCATCCCCGACATATTGTACGTCCCGGGCGTGCATGCTGTCGGCTGGTCAGCTGAAGGACAACGGCGTGAAGCTGCAGGACGAGGGAGACGAGATGATGCTCATTTCCACTGCAGGAGATGTGCTCGGTCGAGCACACTGCACCGGCCGAGTCCTCTGCACCGACCTCCGCCCCTGCTCCTCGAAATCGAGGACATCTTCGACGGAGGCAGTTGCGCTGCGAACGATCGCATCGGTGATAAAGTCAACACCAGACAAGTGGCACCCGACCACTTTTTAAAAAGTGGCTGAAGGAAGTGGAGCGGCAGAGCTCGAAATCGGCGAAAAGGTTCCGCTCTGACCGCGGAGGGGAGTTCCTCGGTCGGGCCTTCACCGATCTCGACGAGGACAAGGGTATCCTCCACAACCTCACGTGCCCCTACACTCCGCAGTAGAACGGCATGGCGGAGCGGGAGATGCGAACGGTCGTCGAATCTGTGCGGACGATGTTGCTTCACATGGGCGTGAAGCATCCTCGGTGGCACCTCGCCCTTCGCCAAGCTGTCTGGGTGCGCAACTGTCTCGAATGGGCCTCCCTTCCTCCGAGGACGACGCCATATGAGCTGCTGTTCGAGAAGAAGCCGGATCTCACGCTAGCGCGCGTCTGGGGCTGCATGGTGCAGTTCATGGTCCCTAAGCAGCAGCGCGGCGGAAAGTTGGCGCCGAAGGCACGCTGGGGAATTCACCTCGGTGTTTCGTCGGAAAGCAAGGGCTGGGAGGTGCTCGACCTCACCAACAACCGCGTTGTCACAACCGTGGAAGCGATCTTTTACTAGTCAATGTCTCTGGAGGAGTGGAAGGTGGAGCATGGGCCGGCGTCAGTGCGGACGAAGGATTCCCCGCTGACGGGTCCATTGCCGGCGGCGATTCATCTACTCGAAGTCGAAGACGATGGTCCGTCTGACAATCCCTCTCCCTCCATTCCACCCTCCTTGAAAGCTCCTCCACCTCTATCCGC